CGGCGGGGTGACAGGCGTGCCGTGGGGAAGCGGCGATCTGCTCTCTCCGTCTGACGCTGCTGCCCTAATCTGCCTTTCAGATCGGTTGTACTTCGCTACTTTACGAAATAAACCGAAAAGTACGGTAAACACCCACTACTTCTGTACTGACGAGGAACTGGTCTATGAAAAGTAAGTGATGTGATCTGTTGTGTTCTGCATGTTCAAAGTGATCACCTAAGATTCTTCCCAATGCGTTTTAATACTATATGGAATATTTTTGCCATATTTAGCTACTTGCACAAAGCGTGAGTATGAAGTTAGCCTGAATAATTTATAGGTTAGCTAAAACTACTTTAACAAGATTGATATTTTAAAGAAACACAGAAACAACTACAAGACCAGTTAAATGGCTTAAATTGTGTTTGAGCTAGGGGAAGGATAGCTGAACTTCGTAAGTTTTGGGGTTTTTTGTTTTATTTTTTTTTTTATAAGGTGGAGAAGATCTCTTAAGACTAATTACATCTTATTAAATGGTGTCTTTAAATAGAAGGCTATTGTTTGGTATGAATAGATGAAACAATTTGTTTTATATGTATTTTCCTGTGTAGAGATTATGAAGTGATTACCTTTTATACAGGCTCATAAGAATACAAAGCTTAAACATGCTTTTGAAGAAATCTGCAACTGTTTCTATAGTCTGCAGAAGGTTTTGAGATAGCACTTCCTGTTGCCTTTTGTAGCTCTAGAACAGCAAAAAAAGTATTTTCCGTGAAGTAAAAGCTTCATGTGTTTGGAAGACAGTGACAGCGCATAGAAGTTGTGAATACTATTAAAGGACATAAAATACAGTAAATGCATAAAGTAATAGCTCTATGCCGTGGTTAAAAAGTAGTTGCTCTACTGTGATCCCATATCAACTGTTTCATGTGTGATGATATATCTAGCCACTTGACAAGCGGGTTGCTTGCAGCACAAATGAAACAAAAATGTGTCTTAGTTTAAATACAACTTTCTTTCCATATGAGTTGAAGAGCTTGTGAGCATCAACCATTCTTCTTCCCCGTCTCCAGTACTGCTTCTGTGAAGATGTAAACCAATCTTCTTTGGTTTCTAGCTTACTTGCTATGCACAGCTTGTAGGTTTAGGGTTTATTTTCTACACATGTTTTTGAGTCTTCATTATCTTCATCTGTGTGTCTTCTACTGGAGTTCCTAATGATTTGTTCCCAAAGTTGACTTTTGTAATTAATTGCTTGGGTTGGGAGTAGGTTATGAAATGATCACTAGCTAATCTGGGTTGGAAGGGACTTCAGGAGTACTCTAAGGTCAAGGCTGACCTACTATTAAAAGCAGAATTTAGCTGGAGAAGGTCCTGAGCAATTTGTGTTATAAGAATATGTTCCACTTTCTTTAATGAAAGAAAAATTTGATCTTGTTTCTCTTCTAAGACTTCTGTGTTATGCTTGACACATAATTTTGTTTGTAATTCTTAATATGCTTCTAGAAAGGGTGAAGGAATCTTATATGGGATTTGATCTTGGAGGTGGGAAGGGGGAGCAGTTCTGTACTCTCTTAGTTTGTATCATATTTACCAAAAAAAAGTACTGAGAAATTTGAGGGGAAAAAAAAGTTACATTCTTTAACATGTATACAGGAAATTCAGTATGTATACTCCTTAACCCAAATATATGTTAACCACATACTAGAGTGTAACTTGATAGCAGATACAATTAAAAGATAATGGAAGGAAACAGTGTTTCCTTTATCTTCTAGGGCACAGCTAAAGATTTTGGATGTGTAAATTGCGGTGTATTTTCTGAATTGATAGTTTCTAAACTATTTGGTCTTTTTAAAAAGTACGATCCTATATTTGATACAGTAATAGCATGCTCCCTTTTGTGCTCTCAAATTAAAATACTAAAACATAATATGAAGTATTCCCCTGATATTTGTATTGCAGCACCCATCAGTGTATGCAATATTTGGTAGTAAAACTATGCCTGATCTTATTTTTATTTTTTTCTTCTCTTTTTCCCCTCTCATGTCCAAGGAAGCTTATATTGTCTCAGGGAAGTAAAAGCAGGTGTTAGTGGAAGAAAATACAAAACGGTAACCTTAACTATCTCTCTGAAATTAGAAAGCTAGAGGCAAAATGAGGAATAGAATGTGAGTCTCTTGGTTCTTGGAGGAATACTGATTTTACTATAGCTCCCCTTTTCCTTATGGTCATGGGTGAGCTTGACATCAGTCTGTTATGTTTCACAGGCTGCACAGCAAGGTGAGGGCCCTGATATCAGGGGTTGTCTGTAAATAGTAGTGGAGTGTAACTTTAATACACCAGATTGGATCTTCTAATTTTCTCAAATGCAGCCTTCTTTCTGAGAAAGTGGTTCGACATATTTGTTATGTGATAGCAGAATAAACATTTGGAAGTGAGTTTTGGAGTAGCTTGGAACAGTGGTTTCCAGAGTCTTCATTCAAAATGGCCTGTGCTGTTCTTGCTGATCAGAATTTCATGTCCACTTCTGCTTTTTAATCAAATTAGTTGTTCAGATTGTTACAAGGAGGAGGATAGGAGATGTCTACTCAAGGACAAAATCCTCAGCACCACTGACGTACGCAACTTTGTTAATACGACTGTTCATTGATTTAAATTTGTTTAGATGCATCATCCTAGTGACAAGAATGTCATACTTCATCGTGCATAGAAGTAAACTGCTTTTCGTTGGGCTGTTATTCTGTTACTTTAGTGATAACTCTGAAGTGTGAAGTATTACAGAAATTTATTTACCCAACTTTACTGAGGTGTCAGTTTGCTTTAAATGAAGCAGCATATGATCTAAAAACCCACGAATATGTAGGTTTGGGGTTGTTTGATTCTGGAGAGCATGTTATTGGATCACATGGTACTTTTAAAATCTCACTGCCTTGGTTCCCTTTTTTCCCCCCACTCTTGAAGAGACATAAGGAAGTAATAGTGTACATTAATAGTATATCCTATTCATTAAACAAAACAGCTGTAGTGCTAATTTGGAAGTTTGGGTCTAATTACTTCTGACTTGCTCTTGCAGTTTGTCATGTGACTTATCCCTAAATTGTACACTAAGTGTGGTTATGTAATTTTGAGTACTTTAGCCTTCAGTTTTCACTTGAAGTTGTCAACTGTTCTAATGAATTCATAACACTGTCTTCACTTATTTAAACATTCACACTTTTAAAAATAAGAAAGATAGGCCTAAATGCTTTTAAGAACATCTCAAATGCTAGCTGACTAGGAACTTGCTACTAGAACTGTCACTATTTTGGTTAAATGTGCTGCAATTTATGTTTGAACCTATTATGCTAGGGGAAATGGTATGTGAATTCCACAGCTGAGAGAACAAGGAACTGAATTAATTTATCCAATTCTGATTTCTCTCTTTTTGATCTGATTCTGTAAGATTGTCAGTCAGTCTCTTTCTGAAACTGAGGTCCCTCCTGAGAAGGTCTGCACTACTGCTTAGAAGGGAATACAATTTTTCAGGGTAATGTAGCGCAGGTAACAATTTCTTCAGGAAAATTGAGTTAATGAGAAATAATCGAGCTTGATGAAGACTGTCATTTGGCAAATAGACAAGCCTTGCCTTGGCAAGACCTCAATTAATGAATTAGGCACTAGTAAGAAGCTTTTTCTTCTCTAAGAATAGCTTCTTTCATGTTTCACCTTTCAGTAAACAGATCTGGGTTGAGAATACTACACTTGACTGGTTAACTTGGCTTTCACAGATTTTCATCAAAGCAACTTTTTATGTCCTTTTTATTGTTGAGTAGTTTTCTCAAAATCAAAATTTAGATAATGAGAAACAGGAATCTTTTACTGATAACTTATAATAGCAGCTTTCATAAATCATAATGTTTTTATTCAGTCATTTGTTCTGACTTTGGATCTCTTATGAACAGCTTTTGCAGATCTAGTCTCTGACATCTTATGAGCAGCTGTAGAAGTAATGAATATGATATTCTCTGTACAACCTATGTTTTAAAATAAAACTCTTCCAAGACATGGTATGTTACTTGCCCATTTCATAGCAGTCTTAATGTTAGCTGCACTTTGAGTTCAAGCAGCAGTAGAATAAGACTCGCATATGCTTAGCTACAACACTATTCAGTGAGTACTGTTTAGACTTCGACTTATAAGGACTCATTTCATTCACTGCATGTGTATATGCAAAGAAGCACTTTCTCTTCCCTGTGACAAGAGTAAGGGTCAACTTGTTTATTTTTACTTTGGCTAAATGATTCTTTTCTGTCGCTATCCAGTAACAGTACTTTCATAGGAAACCTGAAATTCTCCATCGTTCCTGTGGCTTATATCATTTGAAAGGAAAGAGAAAACTTAAACTTGTTACAACAAACAGAGCTGTCACTTCACACAGGGAACAGGGAGCTCCTTGTTCACACCAGTAGCTTTTGAAGACTTGAACTTGACTATCAGATGACCAACATAATTTAGTAAGCTAAAGTCCACAAAACAGGAAATTTCTCAACTTCTAACGTCTATCAATGTGAATGTAAATACAAACCAGAAAAAGTTCATATACTAATACCAGCTTTTGTATGTCTAATTCTTACAGATTAATTTTAAGAATAGTACTCCAGCTTTATTTTGTGTTCCATCTTAAAATGAGAGACTTAAAATTCACTGCAAACAAGAATATCAGAAGATTTAAGAACGGGGAGTGGCAGCTTTTCCTTTCGACATGATCTACTGGCACAATTTTCTATATGAAATTTGTAAAGTGCTATGCCTTAACATCTGCGGTCTTCTCTTCAGTCCAGCAGTTTCATAAATTTTATACCCACTCATTGCTTTACCATATTTGTCTTCACTTCTTTGTATGGAAAAGATAAAAGCAATTGCCAAAAGTATTGAGGAATTTTTTTGTTTGCAGGAAATGAGTACCAGGATAAAACAGATTTGTTTTCTAGGCTCCAGTTTTATACTGAACAGGAGTGTAGCTTGATATAAGAACCTCCTTATGAGAAACTTGGCCCCTGTTAAGATTACTTTTTTCCATACAGAGCAGCTTTTTAACGTGACCTGAAGATTGTTCTACAGGAAAACTTTTTATGGGAGAACCTCTTCACTGATACTTTGTTCTTGATGTCAAAGAGCATGACATCAAAAATGCATATGTCTGGAATAGCTCT